GCAATAGAGAGAAAATCCTGCTCTCCCTCTGACCCTTAAACGGAGACAGTCTTTCAAAGTTTAACAGAATGTTTATTCATACTCCAATTGTCTCCTACTTAACTTACCTTCTGAGCAGAGGCGTCTAAATTAAACACACTTCTTCACATTGCACTTCAACATTAGCTACTCAAAACCTTTCCATAGAACAGAGCACTAGAAAATCACCAGCAATACTCAGCAAATACTTTAAAAGATTATAGAAGACAAGTAAGCAGGAAGATAAGTAGTAAACTGGAGAAAGGGTGATGTAATATGCTTCTCCATAAAGATACTGGTCCCTTCTGCCCTGCCAGCTTTTCTTCAAGAATACTGTGAGGGTAAGCAACTGCATTCTATTAATTTCTTATTTAACTCATCACTAAAATACTAGCCAATATAACAGTCTCGATATATAAATTAGAATTTGTACTTGTTAGAAGTTCTTTTCTGCAGTAGTTGAGACCATTATATATCTGCTGAATGCTAATTATTTTTCTATTGCATTAATTGTTTTGAAGGGTTAAGCTAAACTTCAGTTTAATACACCTAATTTTGTCTAAGATGTAGGGGTCACAGATGAGCTAGAGGCAGAGTTTAGTTGCCTAATCACACGTACCTACTGTCAGCTGCCACAACCAAAGAAGTGTCTCCTGTAGTCATACCATGAGGCATCTCACACACACTAAGGTGTTTCAGACACTGCTGAAGGCTTACATTTTAGCTTCTAAACTCAGCAACTACATTCAAGTGAGATAAGTAAGCCACTGAGCTCATCCTAAGGTAGACAACAGCATTTGGTCATCAGAAGAGCTCTCCATGTGCCACATCTAGGTGTCTCCTTCACGCTATAGACTATATTGACTGTGCTGACCAGAGGTTCAATTCCATTGCCTGAACATGGGCATTTAGACTTGTCTGAAACCCAGTGTGGTATCTGAGATGCTTTGCTGATCCTGGCTTTCCCCAGGCATGTGCTCTTAGGAGAACAGAGAGAGTCTGCTGCTATTTCCTTCTACCACATGGGCCAGAAAATGTCTGACTGAAACAGTATGAGGTCAAACATAACAAATTACTGGAAAATGACAATTCCTGAGGTGCTGGATTAGCTTATTCTTGGAATTTTCATTTTTCCTGAAATACCATCAATCACAGACACTTGCTTTCTGCTATATTATATTTTAGTTGAAAACTGTCAGGTTTTCTTACAAATTGCTAATGTGCTTTTCATAATTCATATAAATAAGGAGAAGTAAAATGAACTACTGTTCACTATACTGTACATAAAAAAAACCTACAAAATGTTCTTTGTGTATTTTAAGGGTGAGGTGGTCTGTTTTTTATGGTATGAACTTTTCAAAATTTATTTCACTTGATCTTGTTCTCTATCTAAAATGTTTAAGAAATTATCTCAGTACGCAAAGTATTACTAATTTATCCTTCATGCTAATAGTATCGTTTAAATCACAATTTTAATAAATTAATTTGAAGCAAAATAGGCATGAATCTCCTCTCGTATTAATTTTACACTGAAATAACCTCACTGACTTTAATGGATTTGCTTTAGAATGGCACTACAGAGTAAAAAAAGAAACAGGCAATGCGTCTTTCTACAATATCTGCTAAAGTAAACAATTATCCTTGCAGCGTAAAGATTAATATTGGTCGAGTCAGAATACATGTTTTAGCATAACAATTTCAACTCGTGTATGAATGATTTTTGCTTACTTTGAGCAGAGATAGACCTTTTCCAAATCAGTTAACAATTATGCAGTTTTTCATATCTTTGTTAAACATGCTTTTCTATTAAAGTTTGGCATCCCTTGGGCAAACAATAATTATTTGATATGGTTTCCTGCTTAAACAAAGTTGTTATTTCAATTAGGTTAAAAAGTAAAAACTTCAGATAAGACCCTCAGGCATAAACAACATTTATTAACACATTTATTATAACTTAACTTTGGCTTTGAAACACTAATTGTATAGTTATTACCATATTTGTAGTTTTGCACAGTGAAATAATAAGAATATATCCATTCAAATTAAGACCTCAAGATTTGAGAGGACCAATAATTAGCAAAAGTTAACAAGATAGTTGCAATCAGGTTAAAATATTAAAAATGTAATTGAAAATGAGTTACAGGATAATTTCAGTACTTTCTTTGATGGACTATTCGGCTTAAAAAGAATTCACACATTCATGGATCTGTTTAAATGCAACCTTGCACCTGGAAAATGAAAGCTGATGTTATGATGTCATATGAAAGAAAATAGCTTTTCATGTGATAACTTTGACATCTTACTTTGTAAATGAGTACTTTTGTGATTTGCAGAAATAGTCTAAGACAAATTTCTCTTTTGACAAATGACATTTTAAATATACTGCAAATACCATCCTATGACTTATGTGCTACAGACAAAGCAGAAATACAGTGGCTTTCCCTCTGAAAGATAAAACCAGAGAATCTAAAAAGTTTTCACAACTAAAACTCAGTAAAACTCAAACTGGAATATCTAATTTTTTTCAGCCTCAGTTAACAGTGCGCACTGGAAACATAAAATAATTCAGAAAAAAAAATGCACCAGTACAGTTCCAATCACTAATGGCTTTAAAATAAAATACACACATACAGACATATATATGTATTTATATATACATATTATTATTTTGCTGTTAAAAGTTTTTACTGATTATTTATTTTAAAAGGTCAGAATTTCTTCACATTTCTATTTCTCAATGAGGTAAAACCAGAACGTGTGTACACACACAATAACGTATTTAAAAATGCCATTTCTATTGTGTTTTTCATGTGGCTATTATTTCTTAAACTGTTACAAACCTGTGACTCGAAGTTTATCTGTGCCAATTACCACCTCATTTTCATCCACTGTAAAAAGAGGCTTGCCGTCCTTTGAGTTGATCTGAAACTGCTGACCATGGAATTCTACCATTTTAGGACCTGAAAAGCATAGTAAAATAATGGAATAATTACATCAGTTTTCTTCAAATTTCTTCAAATTTCTATATAAATTACTAATAATTTGAATTGTGGCCTGAGGAATTTAGTGAATCATTTAAATACGTTAAGGATCATGAAGCAATCAGATATTCTAAGGATAGTGACCCTTTAAGTACTAATATTGGATAAATCTATTTAAGTGATCTAATTTGTTGTTCAAAACTGTGCCTGGAGTCATGCTTTCAAGTTGGGTTTTCAGGGAACTTAGGAAAACATATACGAATTGATCAAGAAACATTCGTGTTCTTGGAGTTGAAACTGCTAAGATTCTTTGATCAGTGAGTCTTTTTTTTTTTTTTTTTGAAACATAAACTAATTACCAAAGTCTCTGTAACATCATTCCTTTTGATTAGGGAGGCTCAAATGTTTTAAAATTACAAACATCCCATGTAAAAGCAGGACTCGGCTCTGCATAACAAATGCCAGTTTAGCTCCACAAATCTTGATCATGTTCTTTGAAGAGTTTCAAAGAGCTACGAGAGTATTTGCAATTGGATCTGGTAGTACCAAAATTAAAATAATTGTGTGCAAGAGAGTCTTTACATATTGCCAGATCCTGAATTCAGTAAAACATCCTATTCTACAGTACTGGTTTGGTAAGCAGATATAAATCAAACCCTTAACATTTCCCTTCCTAACAACCTGATCAATTAAAAATTCACATCACATAAGTTTCAATGTCTACTTGATAAAGTCATAATCTAAATCTATATTCAGAATTAAAATTAAAGAGAATGGTCAAAGCAGTTAATCTTTTTCAGTAATTTTTAATAAAGGTAATGCACAGACCAACCATGGGAGCAAGAGGCACTGAGCTGCTTTCTTCCCGGTAAGAACCTGCCTTGCCATGCCTACTCCCATAAACATTAATTATATTCCAGGCAGATCTTGCATTAAAATGGCATTAGGTGACAGATAATTGATACTGCTAAGAAGTACAATCAAGTATTTCCCAAAACGGCAGCTGATGAGAGAGATGCCTCCCATAAGGTGCTATACAAATTGCTTATTGCTTCCCTCAGCAGCTGCAAACTATTGCTTTTAATTGCTCATCAAGAATGGATAGGGTTATAGAAGCCATTATGTCCTAAATTAGGGCAACAATTTTAAGGCATAAAACCCAATATTGATTCTACTTGAAAATAGTCAGGGTAGAGGGCTGAAATCTGCAGTGCATTATACGCTATTCGACATGTGCACTGAGGCACAGCCTTACTTACCTCAATTTGGCTCTTCTCGAAAGCTCCTCTGAAGCACATGACTATATTTTTGAGAAGTGTATTGCAAAAAGTGACCTCAGAAAATATCTCCATTCAGTGAAAAGGTGTTAAACAGTCTTTTTTTTTTTTTTAAATCAGTAAAAGAAGCAGTTCTGGTTAAGTGGGGTAAGGAGTGATACCTATCAATGCTTTCCTAGAAAATCTTTGTTAAGGTGTTTTATTGCTCCTGTTTCTGCCCAGCAGCAGTAATGAAACTGCCCATTTATACAGTGTAGGTAGACACTTATTTATTAAAAAAAAATCAAAGGCCTAAGTAAACTGGCTGCTCTCAACTTTACTGGTGCTGCAGAGGCTGGTTCCTCACCCAGCACCACGATTACAGTGCTCAGCATGAGTGTGGGTAACACAAATCAAGGCCTCTGCTGTCTGACATGATACAGGTCAAGGGATTCACGCACACCGAGGGTTAACGCATTTTTTCTGGAAGGGGTTTAGGAGTGATTCTTCATCTATTTTCCTGAATATGTTTTACACTGTATAGAAAAGGAAGGAACTATTTGGAGCCTTTATTTCCTCCACAGGAAGGGAATCTAAGACTCCAGCTTCCAGTGTTAACACGTTGGCTGTAAGACTGCTAGAGAAAAGTTGTACTAACACCTTTTCTTCTCCTGATCCCGATTATTGTTGGAGCTCATTCTAAAAAGCATGCCATTAAAATATAAGCTGGATTAGATCCAGTAGATGAGATAGAAGTGGGAATGCTTACTCTGTAGGCTCTGACAAGGTTAAGTATTTTTCCTTTCAGTGTTGTCAACATTTTAGTAGGTCTGGCACGCTGACACCAAATATTTTTATATAGCTGTAGAATATTTATTTAATAAAAGATTTAATAACTGAAGAACCTGCAGACTTACATTTTAAGTAGGCACCCCAAGACCTTCCACAAATTAAATTCTAAGCTGTGAGGTTTTATAGTGCGGGTAATCATAGAATCATAGAGCGTGTTGGGTTGGAAGGGACCTTTAAAGATCATCCAGTCCAACCCCCCTGCAGTGAGCAGGGACAATGTTACCAGATCAGGTTGCTCAGAGCCCCATCAAGCCTGACCTTCAGTATCTCCAGAGATGGGGCCTCCACTACCTCTCTGGACAACCTGTTCCAGTGATCTATCACCTTCATGTTGGAGAACTTTTTCCTAATATCCAACCTAAATCTACCCTTTTCTAGTTTAAAACCATTACCCCTCATCCTATCACTACATACCCTAGTGAACAGAACTTCCCCGAATTTCTTATAGGCACCTTTCAGGTATTCAGGTAATCATTAAAATACTGATAAGAAACTGCTATAAGTATATCTGAACTATTGTGCAAGCTTGCAAACAATATGCAGCAATATTTCTAAAAGACTCAGAAATATATACTGTTAATTTATATGGAATTGTTAATCATTTACACATCATCACAGAAAAATACTTCAATGTGATGAAGATACTGTATGTTTAGAGGGAATGCTATCTACTCATTTCCTTGTACAAACACATTCATCTGTGAAAATAAATTGCTGGGCCTGAATAGTGGCACTTCTGCTCTTTCCTTCTCAGCACCTTGGTTGACACAGATGTATTCATTGATTATAAAGCACTGGAAAAAAGTAGATATGAAAGAACTAGAGAAGTGTGATGTGATTTGCACCAGGCCTAACTAGATCTCTTCTCAGAGTACATTTATCTTCTTTGATTTGCTAATTTTCTGAATCTGTTTCACAAGTAATCTTGTCAAAGAAATATTTTTCATCTTTCTCATAGTAAGAACAAGACCGACCTACCTCAAAGCAGTTTGAATCAATTAATTCAATTTGTACATCTGCATATTGCCAGCACATTGATAGTTTTTTATTAATTGGATTGTTACGGAACATAGATTAATTCACAGAGACATGTGACATGACAAAGAAAATAGTTTTAAGATACAGGAGCCGCTTTAACTGTTTGAATTTAGGATGAATATATACACACTAAAAAGCATTTACATACTTTAGAACAAATTCTGTTTTCACTCACCTAACAAAATAAACAGGCATAGATAAAAAAACGCATGTTGTGCTGACTGACTTTCTCGTCTGTCCTCTCTAATGCAAACTTCAGGAATGGTGTCCATACAGAACTTCATACTGGTACAACTGGAGATGCAATATATAACAGTTTAATTAAACTGGTCCATGTATGCACTGACCTCATTCCAACAATGACTGGAACAAGGCTGGGATTCAGCCTTTCTACTCCCAGCTAATTGGTTTTAACACTACACCACACAAACACATTCTTGGGCTCTCCTCTTTTCTTCCATTCAATTAAGATCTGATTATTCCAGACAAGACAGAACACCTTTAACATGACAATGAGGGAATCCTACCCTAAAATAATGAAATAGGGAATAAACAGAGAAAAATCTCCTTAGATAGACAAGGAACAAGAGGCATAACAGGACTTGTAGAAAAGTGCTCATCCTGGCTTAGCAGTAATTTTAGCAAGCTAAAGAATACATCTATACCAATAAATTCATGGAATCATAGAATAATAGAAAGGTTTGGGCTGGAAGGGACCTTAAAGATCATCTAGACCACCTCCTCCCCACCTTGCCATGGGCAGGGACACCTTCCACTAGACCAGGTTGCTCAAGGCCCTATCCATTAGATAGGGCTTTCTAAAAACCCCAAATTACAGAAAGCCAAGGTGGAGGAGATAACGAGCACTGCCAATTTCTGCTAATCTGGTACCAAGCACATTGGCACTGTCTAGACCTGTGCCACACAGCGAACCCCCAGACAATGTCCCTGACCATGTGCTGTTCCTGGCAGATGGAATGGATGAAGGTCTCCAGTTCTGGAAGTAAGTGGATTTGACTGAGAGCTGTACCATGCCACCTGCCCCTGGAGCAGACTGTCGGACCTGGCCTGGTTTGGTTGCTAAGGTAGACATAGACTATCCCTACTTGCTAAACACTTTCCTACTTTAGATGTTTCTGGTCACGCACTGAGTGACTCGTTAAGGTGTTTAGTGACTTTTATTACCTAAGAAAAGTGTGGTGCCTATTGCTCTTAACTGTTTTTTTCTTTTTCTGCACAAGAGTTAGAAGAATTTAAACACTGAATTTAAGCATATAGAGGGCAGTTAGGCAGGATCTAAGACATGTGAATTGTGAACTACACCCTTTATATTTTGAAGCTAAACTTAAATATGAAAACCTCTGCAGGCACTGAGAGCACTCACTGTGCATTATACACATCCCAAAGGAGTCTTAACTGGTGGCTCTTTGAAACTATAGCTCATGGCCTTGCCCATGCTGGGTTTGCATCCAGATTTCTCTCCTGTTTGATCCTGGTTCTTGCACATTTGACTAAATCTTTAACAAGAATCTTTAGGGCCATAGTTTTCTCAACACAAATGCCCCAGTAAAGTGAGACAAGGATTGTCCCACAGATAATCGTCATTATCAAAGAATGGTACGGATAATAACTGATGTAAATCAAATTCAAGCAAATTCAAGTTTTAAACATATTAGAGATGAGACATCTCAGTATATGTTCAACAAATTTCAAAAAGCAGTAATAGGTTTTTAAAGAAATGGGAACAAATTTATGTAACCAAAAGTAGCCATTAATTTCTCTTGTACTTCACAATACAGGTAGCTATATTTCAATAACAGTAACTGGATTGTG